TAATTAGGCCAAAAATTAAAAAATTAGAAATGAAACAAATTATTGGGCCAAAAATTTAGATTTAGAAATTGTTAAATTGTTAATTTGTTTAGAAAAAATTTAAATTAAAATAATTTGATTTATTCAATATTAAAAAAAATAAAATTAGAAAGATTTGGTTCTTTTTCGATTTTTCGATTCTTAGTCTAGAACCAAACCTTACCCATCAGTTCTCAATTCAGATACCTGTTCGAATATTTAATTTGACAAAAACTGCCGAGTTTGATTCGGTTTGATCTGTTCAGTTCGGGAGATTTGCCCAACCCTAAAATTACCCATCTTCTCAAAAGGTTTCTCGGATCAAAAATCCGTTTTCGATTTGTATATTTCTATACAAATCCAGTTGTGCCACACAACTAGAGTCAATGACAGTATTTTTCTGCACCCCTTTTCTTCCCGGTCCAAGCAGCAGTATTTATACAAATCTTCTAAATTTCTCTTTCACCTCATAATTTGAATAGTCTCTGCTACTGTTGGAAAATCATTGCTTTCGAGAATGAAAAAAATGATGATGATGATGATAATAATATATATATATATATATATTGAATTTGCACCTCATCAGCTCGCCATTTTCGGGTAAAAAGCTTCTTTTATATGGCAGATTATTAAGCATTCCAAAATGAAGCACTATTTTTTGGGGATTTACAGATTTAGGTCCTCAATTCATTGCTTCTATAGTAAGATGGTCTCTCAACTATTGACTACATGGAAAATTCATCCTCAATTTTTTAAAGGGGCGCTTTCACCATTGCCCAAATATTCTTTTTTAGCCCTTGGTTGGTTCCCGTTATTTCTATAATACATTTTTCTCTTTATTATTTTCAACCACACATTTTTCAATAAAATAATATTATACATAAATCCAAAATTTTTCATATATTTTAACCACACATTCTTAATCAAATCACTATTTCAAATTACATTCTGGTAGAAAAAAGGGGGACTTGAAGAGACTCTTAATCTTTATTCAAAAATCAGTTTAAAAATCAAGTCTTTAAATAATTACAATAATAAATAATATTAAAAAAAAAACCCGTAAAAGGAGAATAATCTGCATCTCCCACGCTACTCCATTCTTGGTATAAAAATCCAACCCATAAAAGGGCGAGCGGGCATGCCCAACCAACCCGAATGGAACACGGTTCAACCCATAGTTGATGCTGAAGCTTTAGCTCTTCGATAAGGCTTACAGTTCAAGAGTCAACAAGGCTTTAAACTAGAGATCACGTGAAGTGATTATTTGAGTACGATCAAGAACATTTATTCATATTTATATTTGTGCCAAATGTGATGTTATTGCAAGATGAATTTAGTTCAATTTAAAACATTCAATCATTCTTTCGATTGGTTTCTAAATTGTAGCCTTCAATTTCCAGTCAGTGGCTGTCCTAGTGACATGTCAGATAACAACATTATACATATTTGATATACTGTATTAAATTGTAAATTTGACCATCCTCAAAAACAGCTCTTTTGCTACTTCTTGTGGCAGTACGAACATTTTATCAAGGGAATCAGCTTAGAAAGAAAATTTAAGAATTTTCAAACGTAGTATAATAGTATCCAATGCTATCTAGTCAACCTATGACATTTTTAATGCGATGACAAATTTTCATCTCGTCGGGATCGAGATCTCTATAGGTCCTGTTTGACAATCATTCTTTTGAATTCTTTGGTCAAATAGTTTTTTTTTTTTTTTTTTTAAGTGTCGTTAAAATGTAAAAGAAATTTTGAATTTACGTGAAAAACATTTTATTGTAAGAATGAAAAATTAAAAATGAGTACGAAAAAAAACAGATTTTTTTTTAAAAAGGGTTACCAAAAAGGGGCATAATGTATTTAATATATATGGATTTTGATGTCGCTCGGCTGACAGCCTCCTCACAAGGGTAGGGCTCGCACCCAATAAAAAATTTGCAGGCCCCCCAAACTAAGAGAGGTGCTATGTGTACAACACCGTCCATATTGACAATATTGAAGTAACCTTTTTGGGACCTAAATCTATTAATTATTCTTGGAAAATCACGTTTGTTAGTTCAGATTGGTAGCATTTTATTTGCAGCCACTTCAAGGATCAACCATGGCATTAGTGGCAAAAGTTTTCCTATCTATGATTTTATTAAAAATCCAAAATATAACCCGTTTATCCGGTTCAAGACACACGACTTCAGTAATAAATAATTGCTTCGAGAAAAACCGAAGCCTCTGTGGGATGATGGATATCGGACTCAAACAGCAAAAGATTACTTGGAGTCGGCCAAGAAGATGATTGGGCTGGATAGTCGATCGCTCTGGTGACTTTTGCCCGATTGAATCCGGGCCCCGATTAAAAATTCACCAGTTCTTTCGTTCTTACCAGGTAATTGAATCACCATCAATCAAGAATCTGGAAAAGCAACACTAATTTTATCATTTATGATATAGTTTTTGATTTTTTCTAAATAAGGAAACGATAACTTAGATAATAGAAATTCACTTTATGTACGCCTCAAAATGGGCTTTATAAGAGGAGAATGTTTAAGTGAACAATACATAACTTTTACATATAAAAATTACATTTCAAAACTAACAAACATGTCAAATTATTTCAAAATTCAGGCATTAATTTCAATTAATAATATATTTAATATATAATTAATTGAAATTAATTATCCTCACCCTACGACGATACGCCACCTCACCCACCCAATCTGTAAAAGATTTTCAAAACTTGAAATTCCTTTGGAGATCCACCCCCCTCCACCGAATCACCTACGCCACCCCCACCTTCACCTCCAAAAAATTTTCAGAAATTAAAAATGAAGATTACATCTCACCTCACGAAACCACCCTACCCATCCCCACCCCACGACACCCATCCAAAAAATTTCCAAGTCACTGACATGTTATCCTTGATTAGTTGTGACCAAATTTGTATGCAATGTGACTAATTGTGATCAAATTTGTATTCATTGTAATTGTGACCAAGTTAATCTTAACTGTGACGGTATGTGATCAAATCACAATCAACCATAATTAACATGAAATTTGTCACAACTTTCACAATAAACACATTCTTGACCACAGAGTCACTACAAACAAACTTTCACACACCGTAAACCAGCACCACAATCTATCGTCAGTCACCACCACCATCACCTCCAACTTTATTACATTCACTAAACTATGTTATCTGTTACTAATTGTGATCAACATTGTCTTCAATGTGACTGTTCGTGACCATATCAATCTAATTGGTGAATGTAAATAACTAAGTCACATATATTAACAGTTAACATAGATCTAGTCACAGATAATTACAATGATAATAAACTTGGTCACACTCAATTTTCATCATCACTACCACTTCGGCACTATCACCACTCCCAACAATGTCAACCAAATGCAAACCACCAACACTTTCAACAAATCCTGACCACCACCACCAGTATCACCGCACCGTCACTACCACGTGAAAGATCCGTTGCTCGTAGTTGCAAGCAGTGGCATGCCTCCTTTGAAGCCTCCAACCACCAGCCAACCACCCCCAAGATGTCGAACTCTACCACCAATATGACCACCTCAACCTCCTTTACAAATCTCGACCAACATTCCAACCTAATACCTTCCCAAACGCACCAAAAATCAAGTCAAAAACAAAAGTAGCTACAGACTATCTTTTGGGCAACACCACCTTCGACAATGCCCATGCTAGTACCACCACCACCTGCACCAAAACCTACCAACGCCTCCTACAATCCACCAACTCGCCACCATAACCACCATCACATCCACATCAAATATAAATTAATACCACCACCACAACCATCATAACCCATAGACCACACCACACAACACAACAAATTCACATATTCGTACAACCACCACGTATATTCGCACCACCACCCTACAGCTCGACATCGCACCACCATCTCACCCAAATTTAACAACTGCATCACCAACGCACAGATCCACACCAACGTTCCCCCTCTTGAAGCAACGGCCACACCATCGACGCAGCGAGAAGCTTCATCGTGTCACTTGCGAGTAGCGCTCACCGCCAACGACGAGAAGCTTTGTCGCCTCATAGCTGCCAAGTGCTGCTCGACATCATCGGCGAGAAGCTCCGCCACAACCGGTAATTATGGACGTGGGTGGATGGTGGGTAGAGAGAGAGAGAGGAGACAGAATAGGTTGGGCAGGGGTAGAGTTATATATGTATATTGGGAATAATTAAATTTTTTTTAGTTTTAATTATTAAAACATAATTAACACTTGATTTGTGAATATGGAACTTAAACCCCTTGTTTTTTGAAAATGAATCTTTAAATGTAAGTTTCTAGATAATTTTCCCGATGTTTAATGCATTCACAAAGTCACAAGATAGATCTTTTACAAGTAATTTGGAACCCAGAAGTAATCATTACAATCAACTTCAGAGTACTCTACAGACTACGAACTAGTCTTTTATGGAAGTAGAACGCTCTAGGCTTTTCTAAATACAAGGGCTTGCCTCGATAGCACAAAGATTTTACCAGCTTAAAAGGAGAGAATGGTGAATGTATTTATAAACCCATAGATCAGACTTTTCAGAAGTACTACGTGACACGAGATCGCTGCAAAAGATATACCACAAAGCAAAAGGAGATGTTTTCATCAGACTAACATAAAATTGGATTAAGCAAAGTGTCAAGTAAGACTTACGAACACCTGGGATTATTCCCCCTTGCTACAAGCCCTGTAATGTATTCAACTCTGGAAATGGAAAAATAGTGAGGGGCCTGTCAGGGATTCCCAATCAAGGCCCAGTTTTACTAGTCCGTTATCACATGTTTTTCTGGGCTGAAATGGAGTCATTGATGTAGAATACACGAGAAGAAAAGCACACTTCATGGAGCTGCACATCCAGATATCTTCACAGAAAATATTGAAGTTCCTCTACAGTTTATTACTAGTTTCGACAGATTTACACCCTGTTTGACAATCATTACGTGAAATTAACCACATTCACACTAATATTCTGCATGGGAACCCAAAACTTTTTCCAACTTTTTAACCACACATTCTTCTAAAAATATCTATTCAAAACATTGTTTTTCCCAAATAATGACATCAAACAGGGGTTTAATCGGGGAGTTCAACAGCAAGAAATTAACAGCAGTTTAGATTATTCAGGGAGTTCAACGGCTAGAAATTTTTTTCAAGATAATGTGAAACAAATGTCACGTTCTTCTCTATCCTGGCAATGTATGGGAGGCGTTGCAACGGAAAGGTGAAAAGTACAAGCTGTTTTGGCAGGAGGAACCTGAATTTGTAAGAACGGCATTAAAATTCAGGCAGAAAATTGTTCCGTTTGGAGTAGTTGGCGACGATGAAGTGTAAGAGTTTCTTGATTATAATGATGTCATGAAAATGCCTCTTATGAAGGAATTAATAAAAAGAAGAAATATTATTATGGCCAAAGTAAGGAGAGGGACTCAAGTGACAGGAGAAGTAGGAAATCAAGATTTCTTCTTCCAGTAATTTATCCAAAAATTTCCAGGCCAACTTATTTTCTGTTTGGTAAGCCAATTGAAACAAAGGGAAGGGAAGAACTTCTGAAAAACAAAGAAGTTTGCAAGGAACTTTATTTGCAGATACAATCTGAAATTACAAGAAACATGGATCATTTGATCGAGAAGAAAGAGGAGGATCCATATTGCCATGTATTTGAAAGGACTCGTGCTCTTTCGGGTCCTGTTCATCAAATTCCAGCGTTTGATCCTTGAATTCTGTTTAATTAGTTTTTACAAGTATGAATACATAAATGGAAGGAATACGAGAATTTGTACTACTCTTTTATCTATGAAATACAAAGAGAATTAGTGTCTGATTAAGAATATATTATGGAAATCTATTCTAAGAGTCTAGATATATTTTTAACTAATCAGGCATGTAGACGGACCATTTATCAACAAAGTATCCCATTAACTAGTACAGGCAATACGAACAACTAAGTGGTCATAAAATTAGAAATGACTTAGATTTAAAAAGATACAACAAAAAAAATAAGAATTGTAAGATCAGAAGTAAAACTTCACATGCGAACTTGGAACATATGAAATAAAACATCTTACATCTGAAGTTAATATGTACCTTTAAAAGATTCAGCAGTTAGTACTTGATCACATGATGGCGCAACCAGAGTTCGTACATCACCATATGAAAAGCATCGCGTTTGATGGGAGGTGAGTTCCACTGGAAGTGCTTCTGAACCTGAAACGAGAGCATAACTAGTAACTGTCAGCTGCAGGTTCAAATTCTTGCTTTACCAAACCCTATCCTTTTTTATTGAGATACTTTGACTACGTGCAATGTATAAAAAATAAAAAATCAACCATTCTAAAACATATTCCAAACTTGATAAATATTTATACCTTGACCAAATTGTAGTGCAACTTGACAAATTCTTCTTGTGTTATTTTCTTAAGAATTTGCTTCAGCCGGTAGACATCTTTCTCCTTTAGTACAACCGAAAATTTATGCCAATTCAGAATGTCATTAAAAGGCAGGTCATAGTAATTAGAGAGTATCACTGCAAGAAAAAATCCAAAGTTAGGCAAGCAATTGGATGTGAGTCATGGAGAAAAACGGATACACATAGATGCATGAATCAAGAAAGATAAAGTACTGAAATTTTTAAACATAAGAGGAAGGGGGCGAGGAAAGGAGGGGAAGGAACTATGATTTTTGAGAGCCTTCAATGAAATAAGTACTTAAAATTAATGGATAGAAAAAGGAAACTGTCCAACTTCTTTGATAGGGAAATATCCAAATAAAGATTCTTTGACAAGGATGAGTTGTGGTTCATTCATAGATGGAATATGGAAGATTGACATTCCTTGTTGGGTTGGATGAAAAATTTAGACTAATAGAAAAGCTTGTAAAAAATGTCTACTGTGTTATCAAAAATAATCTGTCAGGATTGGCTGAAAGTAGGGAGGAAAAGTATAAAACTGAAGATAATTTCTCAATTCCCCATGACAGTCATTGGCAATTCTTTCTTTAAAAAAAAAACAAAAAACAAAAAACGAAGAAGAAAAACTCAAGACAAAACTGCCCACTTCTGATGTTGACAGCTGAAAGATAGCATCTCATCTACCAAAATTAAAACTGAAAGAAGATTGTTTAACAACTGACATGCATTAAAATGAATTGGTGATTTCAAACCCTATTGACAGTGTCTGCTCCGTTCCAGGACTCAAAACTGACACATGGGCGACTGCCCACTTGTGTGGTTCACATCTTTATGCATGTTACTTTCCCATCCAGCCTGGAATACCCTTTACCAGATATAGGAAAAAGAATCTCTCTTTCACAAATGGAAATTGCATCTTTCTACTTTCTTATCCTCCCAAATTTCCATTCTTTCTACCAAACCAGCCACGAATAATTTATAAATAATAAACAGCAATACATAACGAAAACCAATGCAATTGCAGAATGGAATCCTGAGTTCTCCGCTCTGGTATAACAATATAATGCATTTTTAAGTAGACAAGACATGCACTGATCTAAGAAGTAAATGTTTAAATGGGAGGAAAAGGTTAATTTGTATTGAAATCTAGTTCTGTGAATACTGCAATAAATACCAATGACATGGTAGAAATTTCATAACTTAAAGAAGTCCAAAGGCCTACAATTTCTTCCCATCCTAGTAAATGCCATTGACAGCGGGAATTTAGTTACTTGAAAAATATGAATTACCATTTCAAATTTCATTATCTTTATTCTTTTATTTTTTTCCATTATTTATAACTTCCTATTCATTGTAATTATAATTGTCTCCATCAAGTATGATTCTTTCAAAAGGGAGTTTAAGATTTGAGTACCATATAGAAGATAACTTATTTAACTTTGTGCCAAAATCTTAGTTTATCCGAACCACCCTGGAAAAAAAGAATGTTTTCTTGGTTATGGATACGTTTGAGACTTGGCAAGCACAATGTGCAACCATTTGTCACAAGAAGGCTTACAACCTCTTATCATCCCAGTTGATTACTGATGAAGAGATCCTATAACAAGGAAATCTTGGAGGGCAAACAGAATCATATGGTGGTCTTGCGTGTTATGTTCCTTTATTGGTGGAAGAAACAGCATAACCCTGTATTGTACAAGTCGAAGAAGTTCCAATTCTCTTCATTCTGTGTCTTTATCATGGAAGATGCAAAGATTGTAAATGGGAAAAAAAAATAATTGATAACTGATATCAGACATCTATAAGAAATAAATTCTCACCAGGGATGCACCCGTAATGTATGGAATCTGCAATGCGGGCACTGTTGACCTGCGAACCACCAGGGCAAATGCAGAATTTAGTCCTGTAAAATCTCTTTTGATACACTAGATGTCCAGTTGCTCTGTTTATTCTGTTGTTTGAAATATCAAGTTCTGTGTCATTCTCCCACACGCGTGCCAGGATAACCCGAATTTTAGAGTTCCTATGCCCTGCCCAGAAACCAAGGGTGGTCCTGCAGAAAGTTATATTTAGAGGATGTTTGACACCCATTTTTATGGAAATGAATTTTAGAATAGTAGATTTATGAAGAATGTGTGGATGAAAAATAAGGAAATGTTTTTTATTTACGTGTAATATTATTTTAGTAAAAAATGTGTATTTGAAAAAAAGAGAGAAAATGCATTTTGGGAAAAATGGGAATCAAACGGGCCCTTAAATTTAAGCAAGTAACTATTGTGCAGTATGGCATTACTGTATTAACAACTCAAATAATAGTATACAACTTAGGACATTAGTAAAAAGAGGAAGAAAAAAAGAGGAGCAGAGAAGTATAATATTAAGTTCACAAAAATGAGAAATGAACTTCGAGTGAAATTTGTGAAACAAAAACAGAAGCAAGACCACAGAACTTTCATTGATTGAACATATTCATAGTAAATTGCTTGTTTTACTGGGCTTAGAAACTCAACTTCTCTTCATTTTTTGCCAAATTTTCTTCAATAAAAATAAGTCATCTAAAAACAACATGAGGTGCCAAAACAAACCATTTTTTTCATCTTTTCTCGGCTAAGAAATTAAAAATCTTAGTCGATCCAAACACTAGTAGCTAAAATTTTGAATGAGGCACAACTTTCAAACATGAAAGAAAGACCGATAAACGAATGAATGTCTGCAAGCATTGTAACTTCAATTTTTAACATAGATGATATCGATAGAAAAACACTGAATCTGCAACTTTAAATGAATTACTACTTTCATGTCCCCATAAAATTTGGAAACTTAAAAATTAAAAAACATTATAAAGACTTGGGGCTCTGACAAATGATTTATGTGAAGTTAGGTCGGTGAGAGAAAAAGCTGCAGAGAAATTGTTCGAGAGAGAGACAATTTGCTGATATTTTTACATGCACCTGCAAATTTATTTCCCTCAAGAATGAGCACATAATTTGATGCAGAATAAAACGATAATTAGACTATTAAACTTGTTGTATAACACCCTAACACTAACACTTACACACGCAGAGGCAACTGTTCTTTGTCGTGCATTCCAAATGCAGAAGATATTGGTACCTAATTAGTCCATTTTCATGGTGAAAGTGAGAATTTTTGAAAAGTTGAACTTTCATATCATTGTAGAGAAACAGCAGTGAACAAACAAAAAAGATCACATAAAAGGGAGATAAATAACACAATGAAGAATATTGCATAATCGATCAATTCTGGCCTCAAGAGGTTGACATCTCACACAACATACCTGTTTTCCACATCATTTCCTCCAGCTGGGAGGGCAAAGGGCTGCAGAACTTGTGGTAGGGCAACATCTTTGTGTGGTATAAATCCAACATCATAGCTTGGAGAACAAACGACACGGATTGAATTCTTTACAAGAAATGGAAGTCCTTCAGTGGCCCTCACACCAACATCATGACAAGTAACAAAGAAGTGATCTGCACCCAGAGTTCTATTCCAATAAGGATACTTGAACATCAAGCTGTCCACATAGTTCTGTACAATCACAGTCATATTCTCATACGATATTCCCTGCATGTTATTACAAGAGAATATTTAGCGTTAAGGAAAGGCTCAAATTCAAATTACAATGCAAGTAAAAGAACCATATAGTAGGACTAAGATCATTTACATGTTTATCCGAAAATCCAACATTTCATTAGCAAACTTTTCAAAGATGCAAAAACAAGGTTAAATCTTATGCAATGGAGTAGTAACCGTTTGAATCTGAAATTATCTTCACCTCCATCAACATGAGTTGTCCCTCAAGGTTCAGCACAGTGGTTCTTAAATAAAAATAACTACACCAAGTAGTAAATTTGCAATCCAAGCAATCAACAAAGGCATATGAAGAGCAAAGGTGGGGTGTGCAGGTTCATATGTTCAATCCCTGTATGCCTCATGGAAGTTTCAAGAGGAAAGGGATGATGGGTGGGGAAGATAAGAGCAGCAATAGAAACTGCAAGAAGGGCAGGAGGTGGCCATGCAATAAGAATTGTAGGGGATGACAAAATGATGTGGCAGGCAAAACTTATCCCTTTTAATTTAGATGTTTGCAAACATATTGTTTCCACATGTGAGTTTGTGCGGTGGTGTTACTGTGTTAGTGAAGTTATGTTTAGATGGTGACGGCTATGGCAAATAGGGGGCAATGCACATGATAATTAGTGGCAGAGGCAGTAATGAGATCGAAAAGTGGGGGTGCAATTGTAACACCAGAATGTGGGGCGAAAAATATGTGACGAATGACAGATGACAATGGGGGCAGAAATGTGTTAGGGTGGTGGCAGGCAATGGAATTTTTGAGAGAGAGAGGACGAGTACGTAATGTTTAATGGAATGGTTATTTTATGTAGCATACAAATAACTAAGTTTATACATGTAAAAGTTGAGTGCACGTGTGAAAGTTGGTGGGGTTGGGAAGTATAAAGGAATGATCTAATGAGCATGCTATGAGTTCTCCTTCCGACAGGTTGACACTTACAGCTGAACTTACACCTAGCGTACTAAGTCCCCTCATACAATTGAACGCACTTCCAACACCTGCTCCAGTTTTGGAAGCCCCTAGGTTGTATCACCAAATCTTGATTTACCATATATAAATATAGTTAATGTATGCTAAACACGGGTTACATATCATATTAATTTATTGGTGGATAATAAATTTAATTCAAATGTTGAAATCCACCAAATCTTTATTCATCAATGAATTAATATGACATGTCGCTAGTGCTTATTAGATCATTCCTTGGGAAGTACATATATGAAAAACTACAGAGCACATACAAACAGGAACAGAAGTAATAACTTGAGCTGGTAATTGGCTGGTGTCATGGATGGGGAAGATGTTAATATTTTACCTTAGTCTTTAGGTGTTGTGAGATAATTAAATTTGCAAGGAATTATAATTTCAGTGTAAAAATATATTAGTTAAATCTAGTAGATGCATATGACATATACAGTGCAATAGTTATAAGACTCGATGTCCCTCGATGTAAGAGATTCTTTCATTATATAGAACCAAAATCACCACTAAACATGGTAGCAATCAATTACAATATTAACTAACGGTAACCTATAATTTAAATATGGCAAAAATAATTTATCTACATATAATACAATTATAGCTGTAATCTTTGATGATTTCCATAATTTTATTTAACCTCATTAACATCCCCTCAAATTGATGCTGGTAAAAACATCAATTTACAATCATGAATTGGTGACGGTGATAATACTTGTACCCACGAAGAAAAAATCTAAATCTTGCAAATCGATAGATAGATATGGTTTTTGAACTAAACCTATTTCCACTCGTATACCAGAGAAACAATCTACGAAAACTAGTGACGACAAGAGATCAAGAACAACAAATAATGCAGAAACAACTAAAAATTACTCCAAAGCACTTCAAGAACACTTCAGAGAGCTCACACCCCAAGAAGAATTTTCATAAGAAATTTACAAAGTGTACCGACACACACATAGAGCCCTATCTGTCGGAAGAACTCGGTCGAACACATAATTCGTGTTCCGACAAAAGCTCTAACACCAATACGCCTAGCCAAAATTTCATCAATATATCACTGGCCAAGATGCTATACAGTTGGAAGAGTTTCCATCGAACAACCTACACCAAAAAGCTCAAAAATAATCCTCGTTTGAATATCCAAAACTCTAGTTCATCACCCAAACAACCAAAACTCCACGGTCTGCACTCCCAAGTCTCTTGATAAAGCCCGAGCAACCAATCAATGCCTAATCTTAATAAAGCCCACTGCGTCAAACAATGACGAGTACACCAACAAATCTATGACCTAACAACAATCAGTTATAGATCACGGCCAAAGTGACATAACAGCCCAATAAACCAACAAATCAATCGGCAGCATGCATTACTAAACTAAAATAATTAACAATACAGCCTAATAACAAACAAAAGAAAGGTCCAATCTGAAAATGACGTCCGTAGCCCAGGAGGACCAAACAAATTGAAGGCCCAATCCCAAAAAACCCAATATCATTAAACTGGCCCAACAATATACAACCCAATTACCCAATCCTAAACCTCCGCCACCAATTTCATGATTAGCAAATACAATAGTCCCATCCCTAATAGGCCTAAACCGATTGTGAACCGACCCATTAGTCCCTTCCCCACAATTCCAAATCTTATCACACCCCCTCCGATGACTCCCAACTGAGTACTCCCGATTGTTGAATTTCGAGTGAGCAAGCAACTGGGATTATGCGAAAAGGGGTGGGAATATGAATATGACAGTGAGGCAGCTGTGTAATCATTAGAGTAAGTAGTCGTTGTATTGATATAGGACGGTACCAGCAACAGCACACTCCTACTCGGCCTCAGCTGGTCTGGGAGATCACCATTTTGGATTCGGTTAGACCCAACCAAAGAGACTGAAACCTCAGGTAACGCCAAAGAAAGGTTCAAAGACTCAATTATTGACTTCTCACCCCCATTCTCTCCCTCAATCTTCTCATTATCAGCTTCCCTCTTAGACAAATTCCTTCAATTCTCATTCAACTGAAGAAAATCTCTCTACCCACAAGTTATTATTCATTTCATTTTGATCCTTAGATACCAATCTCTTTTCCTTTATAACCGCTGCTCAATTTTTCCAAAGAATTCAACAGAATTTTTTTTTTTTTTTTTTTTTTTTTGGCTGGCAAAATCTTTCTCAAACATTCCCAGTTTCGAATTTTCACAAAGGTAACTAACCACGAGCTCCTGTGAACCAAAATTCCCAGTTTTATCAACATTTTCATCGAAACCACCCATTATTTTAATTCTCTTCTGTGAGTTTTCTGCAAGAAAATCAATACCCTTTTCTTGAAACTCAATCTTGTCATCTGGGCTCTCCCTGTTTTTCTCCGCAGATGACTCACCTAAATATTCTCTCTTTCATAATCATAAAAAAGAGAACTGAAAAATAAAAAGACCAGCTGATAAAACTTCAGAGAATCTTAAGAGCTTTACAAAAAGTTCGAGCTTTTGCACGCCCTAGCCTCTCTCTCTCTCTCTCTCTCTCTCTCTCACTCACTCTCTCTCCACATGGACCTAAAGCCAAGATAAAGGCGATGCTAATTTCGAATTACTTCCTTGATACGATAAAAGGAACATTAACAGGGAAAAAACAATTGACTCAATTCGATACAAGAAAATTTGACTAGATGAGCGGCACGAGGCTGCTCATCAGAGAACAAAAGCTTACAAGTTTAACCCAAAATGAAGTTAAACCTCTGATACCATGTCAAGTATACTCATAAGACTCGATACCCCTCAATATGAGAACTTTTCTCATAATATAGAACCAAAATCACCACTAAATATGGTAGCAATCAATTACAATATTAACTAATAGTAACATATAATTTAAGTATGGTAAAAGCAATCTATTTATATATAATAAATTACAGCTGTAATCTTCAACGATCTCCTTAATTTTAGTTAACCTCATTAACAACATGCCACTGGTGCTCATTAGATCATTCCTGGGGAAGTAAATATGTGAAAAACTAAAGGCACATAGAAATAGGAACGGAAGTAAAACTTGTGCTGGTCATTGGTTGGTGTGATGGATGGGGGAAGATGTTAACATTTGACCTTAGTCTTTAGGTGCTGTTAGATAACTAAATTTGCAAGGAATTATAATTTCAGTGTAAAAATACAGTAGTTAAATCTAGTGGATGCATATGACATATACAGTGCAATAGTTTGAAGATAACTAGCAAGCTCAGGACTCGAAGATGACAAATTCTCTTCTCTGTTATAGAAAGCAAAAAGTTGCATAGTAACTATGCGATCATCATGCTTAAGTGGCTCAGTATACCACACAAGACCAGTTTAGCTATTGTCCATGAAAGTGAAGAAGACTCTACCACATTAAACAACCACAAAACGAACTCAATAAATACCAGCTAATGAGATAGACAAACAAATAAAAACTCATTTTCTAATTCCATCATAGACATTGAGCATTGCCCATTAAACAATTAGCAGTGTTTATCAAGGCACATACGAACCAATAAGCATCACCATTACGGCCTCTTTCCACAAAAAAACAAAATTTCCATCAAATCAAGCGGTTGTACCTTGCCTCGCATCTTATGACAAGAGATCGGGATGAAGAACAAATCAGCCTGATCCGGATCATCTGTAACAAACTTACTCTCCCTAATATTTTGAAAAAAGTAGCCCTCGCTAGCGTATTTTCCCGTCAGCTTCCTCGGCGTCTGGTAATACGTGTTCGGATCCCCATCCGGATATATATAAACCTTAAACCTCCTTTCCATTTCCTCGTAGTTCAATTTGAACATCTTCGGTAAATGATACACCTCATCATCAACACCCTCATCATCGATTCTTACCTTCAAATCAGAAGACGAAAACACTCAGAAAATTAAGTTAGTGTTCGAAATGAAGATTTGTGATTCGGTTGTACCTGAGGCTGAGAGACTTGTACAGTGTGTGACGAAGGGGTGGTGGATAGTTGGAAAGAAGGGGAGTGGAGGGATTTAAGTGAAAGATAAGTAAAGGAGACTAGCGTCAAGGCGGCAAGAGAGAGGAGAGAGCCTCGGACAGTGCAGACCGCGGCGGACGGCGATGGCTGTGGGGGTTTCGCCGCCAACATATCCGGCCGGTTTTGGTAATTCCCGGCAACACCTTCAATTAATTAGTTTTGAAATTTGTCAGTAATTTGGGATTGATCAAAAGAGTCTACCTCAAGTTGCTTGATTCTTTAATTTACAGGCAAATTTCACGTGCGGTCTCGCAGTCCTCCAAACCTTTTTTTTTTTTTTTTTTTCAACTTATAAATTTAAAAAAAAAAAAAAAAAAGTTCCTTTGACTTTAAAATTAATCAAGTCAAATAACCACTTTACCACATTGACCAATTCATTTTTCAAATTCACCACAATGGCCCTTTGAAATATTAAATGACAATTTTGTCCTTTTTTATGTTTTGTAATTACAAAAATATAAGGTTGTTAGAAAGACAATAGTACTCCTTGGCAAATAACAAATAAATTACAAGAAAATTTCTATTTGTACATAATTATTGCACATAATGATGTTCATAATGTGTTGTGGCAATTATAAGATTGTTGATGTGCAAATATTGAATTAAATGTTGGATCTAATGTCACGTTTAATTATGAATATCATTATGTAGACAATTATGTACATGTAACACTTTCTAAATTACAAACACTCCCACGTAAATTTCAAAATCAAATCAATTTCCTTATCAGTTTCTGCAACACAGATAAAAAGAAAGTTTAATTTTCATATGCTTCAACATTGAAATCTCACAAAATTATCAAAAACTCAACAAGAAAATATTATTTACAACCATCACTCGAAATAGGTAAGTATATTTTACGTATTTTTAATTTTATTATAGCTAAATCAGTATATTATTTGAATCTCTAAATCTTATTTCGATATAGGCAGATAATTTTTTACAATTTTAAATGGATCTATAAATTTTTTTAACAAGAAGGATGAAAAAATTTCATCTGAAAAATTGAAAAACAAAATCGACACTGGCTGTTAAGAAAACACAGTTAATCTAACAGCCAGCTGTTAAAGCCAGCTATTTTCAATTTTTTACTTCTTTTTTTCATATATTTACAATTTTTTTAATAAATCGTTGTTTCCTAATGCAGATATGAAATCGGCTGCAGTCTCGATTTGTTTCTTTGGTGAATTTGAAATAAAGAAAAATGATCGATGGTTGTGGAAATGGACAAGTGAAAAACGCGGTTCCACTGCAATTCTGATAACATCAAGTACATCGTATGTGGAAAATGTACAATGAGTTACAGAACTCGCTCAACGTTGATCCCTCTCAATTTGACATGGAATTGGAATTTCTATTCGGTAAGAAAATTCCAACTGTAGCGGTTACTTCTGAAACTAAAATGCAAATTTTAATTGAATTAAACCAAAAACGTTCGATTCTTATTTATGTAACTTTGGCGGAGAAGAACGTCCCCAAAGGTGAGCATGAAAATTTCAATGGAGAGAATCGTAATGTGAATGATTTTTGAGATACGGTGAAGATAACTAATGCGGATAATATAGTTATTCCAAATACAGCTGTTACCGATAGAGTGATTGATCTCACTGTTACACACGGAATTTTTTCGACAGTTGAAGACAACGAGAATGAAAATACATTGACAAATGAGGATTTGAATGCTCTATCCTTCTGTAGACGTGAGTCGGGTGAGAGCTCACAGGCTGGATTGAGTGCATGGTCCACTAGTTGTTTGCGATTAGTTCCTGATGACGAAAATTTATATGTCGAGCAACTGTTCAAAACAAAGAAAGATTTGCAAAAAACTGTGCACCTAATTGCTTTGAAACACAACTTCGAGTTTAAAGTTATGAAATTGAACAAGTCGATATACACAATTGTCTGCATTGACGAAAGTTGTCACTGGCGTTTATGAGCGACGAAGATGGACACAAACGAGTTCTTTGTAATTCGTAAGTATGTGCGGGAACATACTTGCAAAGTGGGTATTCGTCGAAATGATCAAAGGCAAAGCCAAACATGGTTCATTGGTCGAGAAATAATGCACAAGTTTTAGGACCCACGAACAATCTACAGACCTTTGGACATCATTAAAGAGTACGGGGTGGTCATGAGCTATCAGAATACTTGGAAGGCCAAAGAATGCATATTGGAGGACTTAATAGATTCGATCGAGGAAAGTTATGCTAAATTGGCCAAGTATTTTATTGTTTAGTTGATTTTTTAATATTTATTTTAATTGTTAATTATATATTTCGATTGCTTTTTTTTTGTTTATTTAATATTTGATTACTTATTCTAATTATTGCTTATTTAAATTGTCAAGTATTGCTATAACATGGGGAAAATTAATACTGTATCGGTTTTTTATTGAGAGGAACAACGAGAATCGTTTCAAGTATTTCTTCATGACCATTGGACAATGCGTTTGAGGATATCGAAACACGATGGGACCTCTAATTCTAGTCGACTTTCCAACCCTTAAGGCTAAATACGAGGGCAAGTTGATTATTGCAACATATCAAGTACCAACATCCAAATTTACCCTCTTCCATTCGGTATAGTTGATGGAGAGAATGACTGAACGATGCATTGGTTCTTCACGAAGTTAAAGAAAGTAATTGGAGATATCGAGAACCTTGCATTCGTAACCTATCGAGGGCAGTCAATAATAAATGGTGGCCAAAGTCTTCCCCGAGGCATATCATGATTAATGTATGTACCATATACAGGGAAACCTGAAGATCAAGTATCGAGGTAAGGACATCGTTGTGTTGTTCAGGAGAGCTGAAGAGATTTACAGTTTGAGAAGTTCATGGTTGAAATAGACAGTAAATCGCATACTGTATGGGAGTATCTAACAGGTATAGGGATAGAACATTTGGCAAGATCACGTTTTCCAGAACGTCGATACAACATGATGACGTCGAACAATGCCTTATTCAAGAAGGATCGAGATTTACCATTGTCACAATGATTGATAACATTTGTGACAAGTTTCAACAGTGGTTTCATGATCGCGTGAGAAATCACAGAGTTGTACAAGTGTGCTCACCCCAACTCATGAAAATAAACTCTTCAAAACTCTAGATGTGGTGAGAAAGGTATGCGTAGAATCACTAGATCAGTTTCGCTTCCTCGTGAGATGTGAACGTAATTTCGGATACATTGTGGATTTGAATGGTAGCACATGCACGTGTAAACAGTTTCAGTTGGAGAACTTTCCATGTGCACATACAGTGACAGCGGCTATGCATAGAGAATTCCCACCACACACCTTGTGCAGTGTTTATTATAAGACTGATTATTGGAGAGTATCATATGCCGAAACTATTTCCCTGTACCAAACGAAGCTGAGTCGGAAGTTCCAAATCACATTCTGTCAGTGAATAATTAGTTGCCACCAGAAGTCGGACCACGTACCCTGGACATAGACGTACATCTAGAATACCTTCTACTAGAGAATTTCTCTGACCTCGTAAGTGCAGTAGGTGCGGCGCAATGGGACATATACGATAATTTTGTACAAGCCATATTTCGCTGTATAACGATGCAACAGATGTATAATACAATTTATGTATGTAATATTTATTTTAGTTGGTTATGAATAATAATTGTGTATTTAATATTCACTATGTATTAAACTAATTGTTTTTAATTTATTTAATCAATTATTATTTACTTAAATAAATAATATTCATAAATTATTAATATCGTAGATGAAGCATTTAAATACAGAAAATAATATACAATTACATTCATTCACAAGGTACAAATCAATATTCACAGTGTTTACAAATATTTTGTAATTTAAAAAAGAAAATATTTACAGGATTTACGGATCACAACTAAACTCGTACAAATCGCACGTTAAGTTATTTTTCCAAATTTGTATCTAGGATTGGTTGATCCCATCAAACTTATATTCTATACTCAAAAACTCAATATACTTTATTACAAACACGCCGAAATTGCCCCTGCAATTGAACAATAATGAGTTATATCAGTACCGTACAACAATAATATTAAGTATTAAATTTTAAAAAATTTACAACTACTTACAATATTGTTTGCATCGTCGTTGTCGTGTCCCGCACGATGGCTAATCTGTCCTGCATAGTCAAGCCCGCATGTCTAGCCATCATAGGGACGAAAACAGCGATGGACTCCAAATTTTGTTCGAGCTGACCCTGTGTCAAATATGAATGATCGGGATCGTACACATATATGGTAGATTCAGCGAACACGGTCTCCAAAGATATGCAGTGATGATTCACAATCACTAGTATGTACATATGCATACAACCCTCCCATAGTTCCCCCCCCCCCCCGACATGCAGCCACATTCATATGGTCTACTTGAGCATATAGTCGGGCACCACGTACTCCTTATCCCAGTTTGAGGGACCGGTACTCAATGTCAATATTTCGTCCGAACTCCAAATTCTGTATGACTCGGCCAAGGCTATCAAATGACCTCGGACATCTTTAAACCCGATCACGCAATAAGTCCATAACCAAGTCGATGTGCTGCATTAAGAAATACCAATACAAAACGGAGTTATTTCATTACATAAACAAAAAATTATATACACATGAAAAATAACAATATGACTACTTCTCTTACATCGTCGGCAAGCCAAGCTCATGAAGTGATGATGTCATGGAACCACTTATAAGCATCGAATATCGTCGTTTGACCGATTGTGCGGTTGGCCCTAAAAAAAGAAACAGAAAATGTTAAAAAAGTGTACATGAGTAACGTAACGTACTTTACGAATATCATAAATACTTACTCGGGCAAAACTCTTCTCCATTCCATCTTGAATGCTTTTCATTTGGCATGGTTCACCTCCCTAAATAGGTTGGGAATCGTCCTGTCGACGAACTTCCTTCTCTTCATCTTGACCGTGAAGGGAGAAACGACGTACTGCGATGGCAATCTTGACCTCTTGCCGATCATCTGCTCCGTCATGTCAACAACACGCTTCTTACCCTCGGTCATAGCGGGCCTCCTCTCCTGAATACTGCCCTCTTCTACCTCGGGGACCGTCACCTCCGTCATCCTCTCCTCCTCGACCGCCTCTCCAATCCCCATCTGGCCCACCACCTCCGTCAACCTCCCTCCCCAGCCCCTCTCCCGTCCCCATCGAGCTCACCGCCTCCGTCACCCTCTCATCCCCATCACCTTTCCCGTCGCCATCCGCTCTAGC